ATCATGAGAACTAAGGGGATCCATTATTCGGCAGCCTTGGATGCCAAGCATTGGAAGTTTTTGATAGGTTATTATCAAGTGGCTTGGCCCTGACTTACGCGGCCGGAATAAAATGAAAAAACACCCCTGGCGCTTCGATATTCACGACTATTTCAGTGAGAGTTCACAATCTCGAGTTTTGGGGTTACATATGGTCTATGCCAAGCAATATAAATAACTATCTCCACCCAAAACAGCCATTTTCCCCAAATGTATTGAAATAATGTACATTATTTTACATTATGGAATTGTTTCAGTCCACCGCCAAGCCCTGGCCCTTTAGGATTCCTAAGCCCTTGGCATGGAACCCTGGAGATACGGCTGAGTCCAGATTATCTGATTCTTCTTTCCTACCTTTCTCCGTTTTCTGCTTTTCTAGTCTTTCGTTCTCATTCTCTCTTTCTATATCTTCTTTTTACTTGACCCCTGAACCAGGTGGACCCGTGAAATCCCCCTTTGCCACTCAGGGCCAAACTCTATTCCCCTAAAAAGGAACCTGGGGAAGAACCCTGAGATTTGGATTCTGCGATGAGGTTTTCTAATGTCTTGCCCTTAATCGGTGCACTTTCATCGCTCTTTCAACAAACACAAGGTAAATTTCCCCCCACTTTCAGCTCCTGTTGCCCAGCCCGTTGTCTGGCCCCGTTGCCTAGCCCCGTTGCCTAGCGGCTAACGATTTGTAGCACGATCACAAGCCTCAGAGGCCATTCGACAGGTGACGCCCGTCGATAATGCCATCATTCGTACTCCTTCACATCAAATAGACCATCTCTCACAATTTGATATCACCTTCGACTTACACCAAGACGGCACGCGCATAAAGCTAGAACTTGAGCCCAATCATGATATCTTGGCTGACGACGCTTACGTGCAATATGTGGGTATCGACGGGACAATAACACGTTCGGAACCGATCAATCGACAGGAACACAAAGTCTTCCAAGGTCGCGCCTTGGTAGGATCCGGCCAGGGGAGATGGACGCCCGTCGGCTGGGCAAGAATCACCGTGAAAAGGGATGGCCTAGAGCCTCTTTTTGAAGGTGCTTTCAGTGTCAATGGTGACAAGCACCACATCGAGCTGCAATCGACCTACCTCGACAAGAAGCGCCCGATGGATGCCGCCGTCGAACCCAGAAATGGGGAATCCATGATCGTTTACCGTGACTCCGATATGTCTCTTTATACGCACCTTGAGCTCAAGAAGCGGTCGCTTTCTGGATCCGAGGGCTCTGAAGGTTGCAGCGCAGATCAGCTTGGGTACAATGCTGATCTGGCCAGTTCGATCTTCGGGTATGACATGGACGAAGCAGAAGGTCGGTGGGGTGTCACCTCGTTGAACTCGATGTTTGGATTGGGCAAGCGACAGTCGTCAGATGTTGGCGGTGTCGCGGGTAACACTGGCGGTGTGAATCTGAAAACGACCATCGGGGATTCCAGTGGATGTCCTAAGACGAAAAAAGTCGCCTTGATCGGAATTGCAACCGATTGTGAATTCACCGAATCCTTCATGGCTACCAACTCCACCCCCCGTGAAGCGGCCAAGGACTGGATCATCAACATGGTCAACACGGCTTCAAATCTCTATGAGGAATCTTTCAATATATCCATTGGTTTACGCAACCTTACAATCTCCGAGACAGGCTGCGCCAGCACCGGCTCCACTGCTACCCCATGGAACGTGGATTGCGACGGTGGAAATGTGACTTGGCGGCTGAATGAATTCTCCAAGTGGCGCGCAAGCAGCTCAGATGGCAATGCCTACTGGACTCTGATGACAAACTGCCCAACAGGCAGCGAGGTTGGAGTTTCATGGATGGGTAGTCTATGTTCCTCCGAACTGGTTACCTCCGGAGCCAACTCAGTGGCTGGTGCCAACGTCGTAGTTCGCAATGCTGGTTCTTCCTGGCAGGTGTTTGCCCACGAGACTGGTCACACCTTTGGAGCCGTGCACGACTGCGAGGAATCCGGCTGCAAGGACAAGTTAGATGCCTCATCCCAATGCTGCCCGATGAGTTCGTCGACCTGCGATGCCGGTGCGAAATACATCATGAATCCATATGCTCAGAACACTATGACCAAGTTTTCGGACTGTACCATCGGTAACATCTGCTCTGCCATTGGCAAAAACAGCATCAAGTCATCGTGTCTATCCGACAACCGCGGCGTCGTCACCATCAGCGGCAGCCAATGTGGCAACGGCATCGTCGAAGGCGACGAGGAGTGCGACTGCGGCGACGAAGAAAGCTGCGCCGGCAACTCTTGCTGTGACGCAAAGACCTGCAAATTCAAAGATAGTGCTGTCTGCGATGACTCCAACGACAGCTGCTGCGCCCAATGTCAGTTCGCCTCCGCCAGTACCATCTGCCGCGCCAGCACCGGAGAATGCGACATCGCCGAGACCTGCAGCGGAAACTCGAGCTCCTGTCCCGCAAACAAATACAAAGATGACGGTGCAACCTGCGGCGACGATGGCCAGGAACTCACCTGCGCTAGCGGCCAATGCACCAGCCGCAACTACCAGTGCCGCACAGTGCTAGGCTCCATGGTTAACACCAACGACTCCTGGGCCTGCGAAAACACAGGTTATTCATCCTGCAATCTCCTCTGCGGCACAGCCTCACTCCCCCACACATTCGGTACCACGGAGTGCTACAACATGAACCAGAACTACCTCGACGGTACACCCTGCGATGCCGGCGGCCGCTGCAACGCAGGCCAGTGTAAGGGGGGCTCGGCCCTGGGCTGGATCCGCCAGCACGAGAAGCTGGTCATCGGCGTGTGTGTTGGTGGCGGTACGCTGCTGCTACTCATTATCTTCTTCTGCATCTATAGTCGCTGCAAGCGCAGTTCACAGCTGCGTAAGGCCCGCAAGGCTATTCCCCCTGGTACATATCGCCGCTATAATGGGCCGCAGCCTAATCACCGGCCTATGGAGCACTGGCATGGATACCCGAATGCCGGATATCAGAATGTGCCTCCCCTGGGTGCCCCGCCACGATACTCATGATCGCCCCTTTGCTTCTTGTTTTATTCTAGTTTATGGATTCTATTGAACCTTATCTTTTTTTGCATTCGTTCCTTCTGGAACTTGCGGCCCGGAGAATTTGGGTATCGGCGTCATCGCCGATAGTTGGTTATAACGTACATCGGTCCTTATAGTAACATATCATCCGCGATCTGGATTTTTGTGCATCCTTTCTTGTGGCTAGTCTTTTTGGGCTTTGTAGCATTCTTCATGTAATATATACGTCGACGCCCTTTGGGCTATATCATAATATCAGAGTACAAGTATGGGAATCACAGCATGTAGATTTAGATATCGTATAGAGGAATGAACATCCATTTGAAGTGCGATTTTAACCCAAAATAAACACAAAGAAAAAAGAGGCACTTACTCCCAATAAGCACATGAGTAAAACAACAACATGAAAAGTACTGAAATCCCAACACCAAGGAAAACCCCATGCACAAACAATCAACAGCCCTTAGTCGAGTCTTTGGCAGATCGTAACCATCCAACCAAAGTATCTAAGCCCCAGCAAGGCAACCAAGAAATCCCTCCTCATCCAGATACTTATTGCCAACAAATGCCAACAAATGCCTCCCGAGTAACACCACCGACACCCTCAAGATCAAATTCCTCAATCATAGCCCTAAGTTCATCCTCCTCAAGCCCAGTCTCCCCCAACTCCCTAGCAACACGTCTCAAATCCTCAAGATCAATAAATCCCTTTGCACCCTCATCGAACAGCTCGAACGCACGCAGGATCTCGTCGCGCGGGTCCCGCTCCAGGATCTTCAGCGCCGTGACGGCCTGGAATGACGAGAGAGGCATGAGCAGGTTCGACGGGTGCTGTGGGTTCGACACGGGGCCCTTATTTGAGGCTTGCGGTTGGGGTTGTCCGTGCTGGTTGCCGGCGGCTTGTTGTTGTTGTTGCACTTGTGGACGGGGCACGCCGTAGGTCGTTAGCAAGGAGATTAGCTCTTGTTTACTGAGGGTGAAGCCGAGAGCGCGGAAGGCGACGCGGAGCTCATGGTAGTCGAGGTGTCGGTCGCGGTCGAGGTCGAAGAGGGTGAACTTTTGGAAGGGGTTTGGTTAGCTGGGGGTTTGCTTTTGGATGGGGGGTTTTGGGGAGGCGCGTTTTCTTTTTTTCCCTCCCATTTAGAGGGAGAGAGAGAGGGGGATCGCATTAGGGTGTAGTAATTGTGCAGAATAGTGTCATAGATAGATGGGTTGGGGTATCCCTTACAGCTTCGTTGATCTCTTCCCTCTGCTCTTCGGTGAGTCTGCTCAGCGGATTCGCGTCCTGCGCTGGGCCATGGGACTGGGCGTTTGTTGTGGGCGCGGGCGCAGACTGTTGCATCTGCTTTTGGCCATCGGGCCCATTGAATTCTTGGTTTGCATTTCCCAGACCGCGATGCCGTGAGAATGATGAGGCGCTGAACGGCATGGCGTTCGTGTTGATGGAGCGTTCTGGCAGTTTCGTGCCGGCGTAAGAGCGCGACGCGAAAGGTTGGCCAGAGGCCATGGTGGATGGCGTGTTCAGGTTTAATTAGAAGGATTAAGGGTTCTTCAGCATTAATTCAAGTGGAGGGGCTCGCAGCCCATGAGAATGTGGAGAGATGAGGTGTTTGGCGGTGGGAGGATTCTGGAGACGCGCCAGACGCGGGAATGACCTGTTTTGCTTTTGTTACAGATATAACGATCAACGAAAATATTATTATTGGAAATTCTTTGTAATTGTATTGCTAGAAGTATGAGTGAGTGAGCTTCTAGACACAGCACAATCTGGTGCTAATCACAAGCAATTGGACATTAATCCCAAACCAAAAACTTCACTTCCTATCCACAAGCTAACCTTCCTCAAACGTATTCTTCAAAACGACTGCATGTTCCTTCCATGGATAACTTGTAAACAAAAAAAAAACGCAATATTGAGCGAACGTCGTTGCGAAAGGTGTCAACAATTGTACAGGGATTGCGGGAAATTGCCATTGAGTGGCACTGGATCGAGTGGCATTGTATCAACAAAGGTTGCAGCCATTGGATCGAATGCATCAATACTATCGTTGCCGAGGAAGTTGGATAGACTATTTGAGTCAAAGGTCTCGATTTGATCGATATAGGCCATACTATCGAAGGCATTCTGTTGAGGAATCACTGTATCGTGAGAAGTCCCAGGTTGCAAGTGCCCATCGTCCTGCTCAACATGATTCGCCACACGCCCAGGCCGAGGATAATGATCAGCCAAGAACACTTGCATTTTGAAGGCTGGTGGCGAGAAGGGACTCTCCTGCTGGCTGAAAACAGACTGCATTTGTTCGGGGTCATCCGTCACTCCCAGCCAGAAAGCCATATCGACGTCTGGAGGTGACGGGATTTTGGGAACTCCGTCTTTAAGAATCTCTCTGCTGGAAGATTTGTTCGTAGCCCCGTGTCGGGGGGACATATTGCGCAGGATATCTTCGAGTTTTTCGCGGACACCACTTAGATGATATCTAGAGGGGCCAAATATTCTCGCTATGACTGTGTTGGTTTGAAGATCTTGCAAGCCACATACAACTCGGTAATATAACGCTGCAGCGACCCAAGCGGGATCGATTTCACTTTCTTTCCGTGGCCATTTTTTGTTCTTCTTGTCCTTTCCACATAGAGCCACATACAAACCAGGGCAAAACTCCTGAGACATTTCTCCGAGCTTCCGAAAAGAGAGAATCAAAATATAAAACAAGAGGAGTCGTCCGGTGTTAATTTCAAGCCATGACGCACGGATTCGAGCTTGCACCAAGCCTTGAATGGCCATAAACTGATGTGCAATTTTGAGTGCATGCCAAACGAGTGTGTTTGGTTTGTATTGATCTTTGAATTTGACCAGATCCACGATGGGGAGGGCACTGGTCACCCCAGCAAGAAAGGCGTCGACGGGGCAGTCCGTTTTACTCGATAGCGTGATGCTGGACCTCTTTACTGTCCAATGCCATGCAGTGCAGTCTCCGCCATATGTTTCGCGGATATTGACAATCGCGTTGAATGCATTCATGTGTTTAAAAGCCTCCTCACTCATACGTTGTAGATGATATTTCGCCTCTTGGGATGGGAAGCCAAGGATCCTAAGAGAGTGTCCCGTGGGCGGCCCAAGTAGGCACAGGTCTCCCCAACTTCGAAAGCAGACTCGATTACCTTTAGAAGTGCATGGAGAACACGGTGTAGTTGTTCCACACTTCTTCTTGGCCCGATAGCACGCCATACACGAGCCGCCAGCTTTCCTAAGTGCAGCAATATCTTTTCTCTGTTGCTGAATTTCGGCCTTGTTACGGGGGATTTTTTCGCGGATGTTGTCAGACTTCCCAGGATTCGTTGGATCCCATGGGATGAAGCCGCCGGGATACTGCTCTTTGAGGGGGAGAGACGGTGGTGGTACTGTCCCAATAATGGACTTGGTTTCACTGCTGTGTGCACTTCGAGCATGCTCAGGTTCAGTGGAGGTATATGACCGGGAATCGTTGCCTCTGGAAGGCGATGTCGAGGGTCCGGACTTCGGGCTTACTGGGGATATGGAGCTTTGTGGTTGGTATTCAATTGTGGGAAATATCATCAGTGAATCAAGAACAGGGCCACCAAGAACATCAAGCTCCTGGGGTTGGTTGTCCATCAGATTATTCCCGGATTCATTGGCCATTTGAAGTATGTCTGGATCTATGAGTTGGGTCTCATATACCATGGGCGTCGTCGACGACATTTGCCACGTCTGTGGTATTGGATGTTCGGTATTGAAATCAGACAAATAACGCATGTTTGATGCGAGTGGAGACATGGTAGACTGGAAGTTCAGTGGTCAGTAGGAGGGTGAGTTGAGGGATGGATCAAACTCACAGAATAGACGGACTCCAGTGTATGCGGTGTATGCGGTGCGTATTTACGCCCGCGGTTCGTATGAGGAGAGAACGGAGATGGCTGATGCCGTGTAGCAGCTTGTGCTATCATGGTTTCGATGATAAACGAGAGAAATGGTAGCGATCGAGATTCTGAAGATCATCGAGCAAAAGGAGTGCAAGAGCGAAAGGATGGGCGTCAGGTAGAGCCTAGTAGCAAACCGACGTTTATACTTGAACAACTTGTCGATCCTTCGCGAAGGTAGAGAAGTAGAGAATGATGTGAAGATAGAACTAGACTATACCTGAGAATCTTCAAGATTACTCAAAGCGGACTAGTAAGCCAAACCTTAGCTTAACTTTAGCTGACCTAAAGTTAAGCTGACCCTTTCAACGCCATAGCCACAACGTTACTGGAGGTGAAGCAGGCACGACCAGGCCCATCAGGCCGATTCCAGATCCGGTAAAGTGCTAGATAAGGTTTACCTAGTCTAGATTTCAACGGCAGAAGCATGAGCCTTGGAACACTGCCATACCATAGTTCCATCTTGGGTAGAATGGATATGTATAGGAAGAAATTGATCATGACGATCAATTTCTCTGATATGATATACTGTTCAAATCGACGTCTCTCCGTGTGCCCAGATCCAAGTCCTCCAAGAAGGTGCGATCGAGAAGCTCCTCCGGTAGGTAATCCTGTTGGACCTTGCCGTCGACATAATTTGGATTGTACTTGTACTCCGCACCATAGCCCAGTTCCTTCATAAGCTTCGTTGGTGCATTCCTTAAATGAATAGGGATGGGCAAGCCCGCGATTCCTGGCTCGTTCAAGGCGGCAAAGACATTGTTCAAGCCACGGTATGCGCGAGTACTCTTTTTCGAAAGTGCCATCGCCACAGTAGCATGTGCCAGATTGATTCGCGCTTCTGGGAGTCCGATCTTCTCAACGGCTGAATGTGTAGATATAGCAAGTGACAGCATGGTGTTATCCGCCAGGCCAATGTCTTCGGAAGCAACAACGATCAGTCGTCGAGAGATATACAAGGGGTCTTCACCCGATTGAATCATGCGAGCAAGGTAGTAGAGCGCTGCATCTGGATCACTCCCTCGGATGGACTTGTGAAAGGCGGAGATCGTATCATAATGCTGATCTCCAGCACGGTCATACACAAGCGTCTTGGTCAGGGATCGTTTCAAGTCCTCCTTGTCCATCCCAGGCCTTTTTGACAGATCCATCGCTAGCTCCAACAAATTCAGCGAAGTGCGAGCATCTCCATCGGCGAATCTGGCGAGGTATTGAATCAGCTCCTCGTCCACCAGTTCGGAGGGTGAATAACTCGGGCCTTCAACCCGGAGAGCACGATGAAGGATCGAAGTGATGTCCTCGTCGGTGAGCTTTGCAAGAGTAAATGTTCGGCAGCGCGAGAGCAGGGCATTTTGGACTTTGAACGACGGGTTCTCCGTTGTGGCACCGATGAGCGTGACCTGGCCGCTCTCCACCGGACCCAAGAAGACATCCTGTTGTGACTTGGAGAATCGGTGAATCTCGTCACAGAAGATAATTGTTTTTCTTCCAGTAAGTCCCAGCTCACTCCGAGCTTCGGCAAATATCTTCTTGCACTCTGCCACGCCGCTGCTGGTACTGTTGATTTCCACGAATCTGCTGCCCACCAGCGACGAAATGACACGAGCGATTGTTGTTTTCCCTGTCCCTGCGCTGCCCCATAGTATCATGCTTGGTACTCGGTCCTGTTCGATGAGTCCGCGTAGGATACCGTTTGGTCCGACAAGTTCTTGGCCGCAAACTTCCTCCAGGGTTTTAGGTCGCATGCGCTCCGCTAGAGGTGCTGCTTTGTGGAAGGCATTGATCTTTGGGCGTTTTGCTTGGGGCTCTTTGGCGTCACCATTGGCTTGCTTTGGCCTATCTCGCTCCCGCGTGGATTCCGCTTCCTCAATAAATGATCGCTTGCCGTTGAGAGCGCGTGGGGTTGTTGTGGGTCGTGACGGTGACTCCTTGGGAACATTCAACTGGGCAGAAGCTTTGCGAGCGGACGGAGTTTGGAACATGCTTGGAACTGGTCCCTTTTGGAGGGACGACAGTTCCCCTGGGGAGGACGGTTCTTCGATGAAGCTCTGGCAGCCTGAGTCAATGTGGTCATTGATCTTCAGTTGGGGGACGGCTTTCTCGCATATTGGACAGGAAACCATGATGACCGGAGAATGATATGGTCTACTAGATCACTCAAAAAATCTTCAAGACGAGGTAAAGCTAGAAGTGACAACCGGGTGCGACGCGTTCAACGCGTTAATTAGTAATTTGGAGGCCTTGGTGCCTGAAACTGGGCAAACAACCTTGGAACAAACTGCCTATTTAGTTGTAATTATATGCAGATATGATAGGTAACTAGATAACTACATAGAAGTACATGTACTGCATAATCTCCGAAAATAAAAACAATCGGGACAAAGATGCCGAATGCGGAGCACACCATCCGTGGGGGACATTCACCTTCTCCATATTATCCCCTCTCTTATTTTCGCTCATGTTTCCCCCTCGGCACATCCTTGGTCGATCACAGAATTGCAGGTCTAAGAACCTCTTCTCAGCCCTTTCGATATTACCCCGCCCTAATTACAACGCAAGAGCGATGTCGGCAACAGCTTCGCGACCCGATCCATTTCGCCCCGCCAAGCGGGTGGCAGGACAGCGACAGGATGTTTGGTATGCAGTCTTGGGAAACGAGTCGGGAAAGATATACTAAATGGCGATTCAAGGTCAATTGTCAACGAAGCTGCGGCAGCTTCGCCAGTTCAGCCGATTGTGAACATGGGCCAAGGGTTCTTGTGAGTCACTATTTCGCCCCCAATCACTCCGAGGAATACGGATTGACGTGTGATATTTCTGCGCAGTGGTTATAACCCTCCCAAGTTCGCTCTTGACGCTGCGAAGGATGCGCTAGACCGAGTGGAATGCAACCAATACTCTCCGACAAAGGTAGAGAACGCCAACGAATCTGCGCATGGTTACACAAATACTTATATAATATAGGGCCGCCCCCGCCTCAGACAGGCTATCGCGGATGCTTACTCGCCCTTATATGGCAAGAAGTTGAACCCTGAAACCGAGGTCTCGATCACAACTGGCGCAAATGAAGGTGAGAGATCGGTATAATGTACCTAGAAGTGGACATTTGGCGCTGACAAGTGACAAAACAGGCATGCTCAGTGCCTTCATGGGCTTCATCGAGGATGGTGATGAGGTCATTATCTTCGAGCCCTTCTTTGACCAGTAAGGAGCGCCGATATTGCGAGAGCATCGAGGGGGTATTGATTCACTCGGAATAGATATATCAGCAACATTGAGATGCCCGGCGGTACTATCCGTTATGTTCCTCTCCACCCGCCCAAGGATGGTGCCACCAGGACCTCTCCTGCATCAGAGTGGACTATTGACTTTGAGGAGCTTGAGGGTGCCATGAACTCCAAGACAAAGATGATTGTAAGCATGCGATACTAATGTTTTCATGAATATTCAAGCTAATTGTACCAGGTCCTGAATTCCCCGTAAGCAGCCTTGATCTACAGGGACGAATAAGGTCTCAACTAACTGTTTGTTCATAGGCACAACCCCGTTGGCAAGGTCTTCTCACGCGAGGAGCTCGAGCGCATTGGTGAACTGTGTGTGAAGTACAACCTTATCATTTTGTCTGATGAAGTCTACGACCGCCTCTTCTACGTTCCCTACACTAGAATCGCTACCCTGTCCCCAGAGCTGTACGAGCGCACTTTGACCGTGGGCTCCGCCGGCAAGGCCTTCTACGCTACTGGTTGGCGTGTTGGGTACCTCATCGGCCCTGAACACCTGATCAAGTACGTTGCCGGTGCACACACCCGTATCTGTTACAGCAGTGTGTCTCCTCTCCAGGAAGCCGCCGCCGTTGCTTTCGAGCAGGCGGAGAAGGAGGGTTTCTGGGACGAGAGCCGCACAGACATGAAGGGTAAAATTGAGCGGTTCTGCGAGGTCTTTGATGAGCTTGGTATCCCGGTATGTGGTTACTCTACCCCTCATTATGAAGTCCACTCTGCTATAGGTTGGTTTTGCTAACACCAATCTCTACAGTACTCTGATCCTGATGGTGGATACTTTGTGCTTGTCAATATGGCCTCTGTAAAGCTCCCGGCTGACTATCCATTCCCGCCCCATGTTGCTAGCCGTCCTCGTGATTTCAAGCTCTGCTGGTTCCTCATCCAAGAGGTTGGCGTAGCTGCTATCCCTCCCACTGAATTCTACACTGATGCCAACGCCAGCATCTCTGAGAATTATCTCCGCTTTGCTGTGTGCAAGAATGATGATGTTCTCGAGACTGCCAAGGAACGCTTGAGAGGGCTGAAGAAGTATATCACCCAGTAAACAAAGAGCTACGGGACTTTGATATGTGCGAAGTGACGAGATATGCATAGAAGTGTTACGATGCCAATCGAAATTTGGATACAAAGACGCAAAATACATGCCACAGAGGCCCTTTTTTCATACCTCTATATCCCCTTGCTCCATTAATCTACCAGTACATCTCTTTTATGTACATTTACTCCTATGTAACCTACAACGCCTGGGCACAACGAACTAGGCACAGTAGGACAAAGGCACCAACACCCAACGGTCTTTGTTTCTATGTAGATCAACCCCCCTCCAACCCACCACCAAAAGCATAATACATAAATGGGCATCCCGAACCTGGGGGGCATTTACCGACTGAACACTGATAATATCTCTCTCCAAACCAGCCACCCCAGGTCCAGGACCCTGGTACAAAGAAAAGGGCTAGGGAGGGGACGGCTCCCTACCCTGACCAGCCGTTTTCACGGCATCTCCAGCTCCATGGGTCCCGTTCCCGCCCCGTCCCAACCTTCGCCACGGCAGAAAGTCCGCCGGTCCGTTGAAAGGACCTCCGAGAATCCTCCCCCACACGTGCGAGCCACCACGTCGCTCACCAAAGGATGGGTGGCTCGGTGCGCCCTCAGAACCCAATAGCTGGATTCGAGGTATTCGCACACTCTCTGGAAGCCCAACCCCATACACTGGTTACCGAGAAACGTGGGGCGGCGCTCGCTCGCGCAGGTCGAATCCTCGCAGTGACGTCGGTTGGCACCGACCCACTCCGTCTCACAAGCATGCCGCAAGCCAAGACAGCTCTTATCGAGGGTGTTACCCATCTCGAGTCCCATCTGGTAGCGCAACATGCTGTCCATGTCCTTGTCACTGGCCCACATGTTATGAGCCCGCATCCAGTCCCGGACAAGCCGGTAAAGATAGTCCACGAGGGCTGGATGTTCAACTGCCGCTGGAAGAAATAAAGGGTTAGCATATAATCTGAAAAACGGGCAGTGGTGAGGGTTATATGGTATCAAAGCGCGAGGAAGCCGAGAGTGCAATGGAACTGAAAGTGAAGGTGTAAAGAAGCTGAAAGGGATAAGAAATTTACAAAAGAGACAAATTGCAAGGCACCGGCGGAACCGGTCCTTCTCCTCGGCGGTCCTTCTCCTCGGCATCCTCTAATCGCACAATGTATGCGATTTGAGGTGAACATCGCAGCCCTGCGTGACTGGCTGGAGCGTCCGCGGCCTTCACCAGGTCGTCCCACTCCGCGAACACGAAATAGTCACCTCGGTCGCGGGCGGAACTAAACCACACCGCCTGACGATGGCGCTCAGGGGTATCCCACTGGTGAAGACTGGGAAGCATTGGTGGACCCACGAGAACGTCGTATGGAATCGAACCGGTCAAGAGCTGCTGCTGGTAGACTGGTCGTGTCCCGCAGATCAGCCAGTGCATCTTGACATCCTCCCACAGATGCCCCTTGCCGCAGTAGCGGACCTCGGAAAACGGTCCGCACTTAGGGCAAACAACGGAGACTCCATCCCTTAAAATACAGAGGACTTGGCAGCCTTGCTTCTCGCAAAGCACAGCGATCCTGCCGAAGTTCCACTGCGATTCAGGGGACGGAATCCCGACGTTGCCGAACTGCTTGCCTGTGGGAGTTGATTCTTTATCCTCGAACGACTCGGGTGGAGACGGAGAACGACCTTCCACTCCGTTGCTCTGGGAGGAGGAAGCACTGGAGACGGGGGGTTCGGTGTCCCCACTGCGCTCTTGCTGACGTTTCAACAAGTCCTTGTGTCTCCGTCTTTTCTGCTTTCTCCTCTTATATGCACTCTTCTTGCCACATCGGCTAGACTCGGCTGGAGTTTGGTCGTCTGGCTGGACGGTGCCATCTGACCTAGGCTCATCTGACCTAAACCCAGCCAAGTCTGTAATAGATGGGCTAAAAGAGGCACGGGAAGACAATAGAGGGTCGACTGTTGGGGACGAGGATGCGGTTTCCTGGCTCTTGAAACGCCCTGTAGTCTTTGGTTAGCATGTATTTAAAGCAGATATATGGAGAATATAATTTCATACCTAGACTGGCCACATCAAAAGACTCACTTCGATGCAAGACTTGTTCCTGCACCTCGTGGCCGCCAAGGTACTCTTCAGGGTCTAAATAATAGTCAGCGGCTGCATCAACAATGATATACAAAGCAACTTACCAGAGAACCACACTTCGTCCTTGTTGTTCGAGACAGGGCCCCGAAGCCCAACCTTAACCCCCTGCGGAGTAAGGCGCAGCTGATCCGAAATCTCTGCTGGCCCAATTTTTGCCTCATTCGCTTCCCCTTCCACATCATCCTCAGCTTTCTTCCGCGGGGTACTCGTAGGTGTAAAGAAACATGAAAGTGAGGATAAGGGGAGGGGAGTGTGGGGGGAGATGTGGGATCGGGCTGTCTCGAATGATGCAGACAATGGGGTAGTCAAGTCATTTGGGGTAGGGAGCCAGGAGGCATTAACTGCTTGTTGGCCAGCAACTGCCGCAAGTTGCTGCTCAATCGGGACCTCCTGTCGAGCGATATGCTGCACTCCTGGAAGTAAATCAGGCTGGTCACCACATTCTGTTGACTGATCTGCATCCTTTTTCCCTGAGTTGGAGCCAGGCGAGCCAGGCGAACTAGGTGTGCACTTTCTCTTACCCTTGCCCTTTGACCTTCTGTTGCTCTTCTGGGTATCAATTCTGAGTGTAGCACCCCGCTTAATCAACTCTTGCTGGGTTGACTCTTCCTTCGCCAACTTCTTGGTCAACCCCTGACTTCCCACTGTCTCCATCGTATGTTCTTGCCCCAACGCCGATGGCTCAGGACTTGGCACAACCGAGGCATTTGTATTTTCGTGCTCTGAGCTTCCTTCAATGGTGGAAGATTCCCGGGCTCTCTTTGGCAATCTCTTTGATTGCTTCTTGCCTTTGTTCCTCTTCTTGGTAGAGGAAGGACAATTGTCATCGATAGGCAACTTTCCAAACAGTTGGTTGTCTATGTCGCCAGTCTTTGCCATCAACCATTGAATGCGCAGCCAAACCCGGACTGGAAGTGCCATCCATTTGCCGTAAGTGTTCTGTGATATGTTAGGTAAACCCTAATATTGGTGAAGTGTGTATACTGACAGGGTCTTTATTAGAGATCTTTTGATAAAACTTGTCATGCTCATCAACCGTGACCATCAACTGCTCCTCACGTATCGCATTCCTCCCACTCACAAACCTGAATTGTATGGTCTGTGAATCTTCTTCTGCCTTCATCCAGCTTACTCGGCACCCGGATGTTTCCCACGGGATTGTCCATTTGGTGTAATAGCTGCCTCTCTTCGGGTTCTTCGACTCTCGATAAGCCGGTGCGGACCCAGTCTCGATGTTGCTCATGGAAATATCCTTCGGAGATATGAATAGTGCTTCAATCGATCTCAGGATGCCCATCATGCCGTCCGGGTAATCTGTGGGGACCTTAAAGTCAATACGTATGAGGTCTGATTCTGTGATGATTGCCTCAAGATCGCACCTGGGGCTACCCGTGGGGTTGTTCTCCGCAATGAATGTCGGGGAAGAGGTCCGCCAGTCCTGGATCTCCAGCCTCAGTTGCCCATTTCCCAGGCTTAGCCCAGCCCGTTCATTGGTCCAATCCTCTGGCTTCGGCAGAGCCATTATTCCGATGTGTTCATTTTCGGATGTGTTTGCATCGGGATGCTTTATTTCAGCTTGAATGGCCTGAGGGAAGTTCAGCAGCTCTGGCAGTCGGGGTTCAAGTGTCGGGTGTTGCTTTGTGGATGTGAGCTGGGCCTTTTCGAAGAATTGCTGGATTTCGATTGTATCATGCTCTTCGCATAAATTCTGGTGCTTCCCTCCAGCCACAGGTCGTGAAGTCTTGGGTGAAACATCGCCGTCAACAAACTTGCTAAACATGGGAGCCATTTCGTGTGATAATGATGGTGGACTGTTGACTTGATCTCGTCGGTCAATGACTCTCCATTGAGGTTTACTTTCCTTTGGATCAAAATACGAGTGGAAACAAGAATGAGGTATTTGATGTTCTCTGTTGTGTATTAGAATCAGACTATAAAGTAGCTGAGATCCATTGACATCTGATACTATAGTTCACGAGAAGACTCACTTGCTGGTAGGCAAAAGCCTACATCTGTCTTGACGGATGTAACTAGCAGTGTCTTACTGCTCACTGGCTTTTCTGATGCATCAGTTGAGGCTCATGAATGGGATGCATGAAGAGCTTACCAAGTCGGTCGGCACAGGGCTTCCTTCGACCCAAAGTTATCCTCGGGGTTTTCAACAAAGATGTCTCTCTGCAGGATATACCGGTAAAATGTGAGATTGGTAATTTGACTTTGCAAGAAATGAATTGCTAAGATCAATCATCAAGACACTGAAGGCTGTGAAGGCTATAGGCTTTGGTCTCACGTGAGTGGTGGCATGTGTCTCTTGTCTCAACCATGCACCAGTTGGCAAAGCCATGAGATATACAGATGGCAAATCATTTTGCTGATGTATGTCAAGGCTCATAGCGTTTCAGTGCCCTGAGAGCCAATCTTGGTAAGGTCCATGGGCATCGTTGATGACCCAACGCGTGAGAATATGCGACAACTTACTGTGTGGGGGCTCAGAGCTTGTCTCACGCGTCTGTGGTGTGCATCATGAGGTGAAACAATCTATTTGATACAATTGACTTTGGTCACTCAAAGAGATGAAAGATGCGATGCCCAAACCAAAGCTACTGTGTATGCAGGGGGTAAAGGGTCGGATGAAAAGAGCTTGAGTGGAGGTGGTGATGGAGATGGAGGAAGATAAGAAGAGGGGACAAGCTTTCGAGATTCGACAATAAAGAATAAGACAAACGAACTATGCACGTGCTACTGTCACAGAGTCTTCGGTCAGAAGTTACGACTGACCTAACAAATGTGAGCAAGATGAAGATATGCGCTTGTATCCTTTCTCAACAATTGTCTGGTTGAGGCTGATCCAAATAAATTGAGCGAACCGTCGAGGTATGGGGTAGCTTGGATCACATCTACCAACCAATCACCCTACAGTGGATTTATGCTTATTATCAAGCTGTAGTAGCCGTCTCGGCGACTACTGCACGGAAAATCTCAAATTAAAGATGCTCTTGCCAGAAGTTTCCGCTGGGTTCCGTTCCCAAATGATCAATACGTGATACGGTGTCGCTGTATTCAGCAAAAAGTCTCACAATGCAATTCGAAAATAAAAAGCGATACGACTTGCTTGTCGACCCCACGCGGATACCTAGAATTGGCATGATGCCGACATCATATCTCTTCCACGGAATTTAATCTATCAAAAATGGGTCTCTGTTCAACCATATCCCATGGCATAAGCCTCCGTTTAACAGCCAACTACATCAGAAACGAAGCGAAACAATTGGCATGAAGTTTCAGATGCGAACATGGGGTGACAGCCACAAAAGTCCTTCTTTTGGGCTGATTTGAATATCTCTTAGTTATAGATTTAGGAAATTAATCACATGTTCAACACCATTATTGCTTTATATCAATCTTTACGTAGAAGACTTGGAAAACACACGTTGAAGCATGCACCTAAAGAAGAGATTAAAAATATGCCATATAAAGGTCAGTAAATAACCATATATTCTTAAATTATCACGAACAAACACAACACAAGAAGTTAATTGGGAATCCGTAGGTCCCCTTGTCATGCAATTCAAGACATGTTGTTGCAAGTTGTTAGGGTGCAGCTCAGTCATGTGCGGTCACGTTTACACGGACTCGGTTGATCTCACGTGACACATCTCTTTCTACGCCGGCGACCACAACTCGAATAAGCATCAAGTACTTTTATCACACCCCACTCCTTGGTGGACTTGCTAAATAACCTTTAATAATGATAGAATATATTGCAATATGATTACTTATTTTTCTGTTACTCAAAATTGTACGCGTGGAAACATTTCTCTGCACTCGAATGTGCGAGTCTGTGATTCGATTCACAGACTCGCACATTCAAGTCAAACGGCAACAGCCCAAATAAAGATTAACTCCTAACGGAATGTCAAAAAACATACACATCGTCTACCCACATGATACGGGAACAAGCATGATGTTAGATCGACTAGCCGTCGCTGTCCAGCTATTGGCTCTCAGTCCTGGGCGGCTAAGCGCCCATGGAGGCTATATTTGGCTGTTTGTCCACTCCGGCGCTTTTGACACTCTTAGTAGCCAGTGATACGCTTCGATGCTTCATGAAACAAACCATTGCGCAGGCCCCTGTCTTCAATCTTTATTTTTATGTTTTCTTTGTTTCGAAATGGTCACGGTTCACTCTGATTGGGGCTGTCTCGACTATACGGGGTTGCCAAGGTCCATTAAACTGCTTCTTTGTGAGCAGTATTGGGCTATTGTAATGACTGCTGCCGCCCAGGATGTCTGACAGTTTCCAGGTGATGTTAGCCAGCTGCTATATTTGACGCTTCATTGTCCCTTGTTTGGTTTTGATTGTATTGTTCTCAGTCCGCCACCCGATCTATTCATATATTGACCTCCCCATTCATTCAATAAGAATTCATATACACCATGTCCTCCCAATAGACCGGGTCTTTTCATTTGCTCTCTTTTTCTTCTTTAAGAACCCGCTGTGTTGATGCGGGCTTTGCATCACTTTTTTTGATCTAATTACACCTCCAGGCGTTCCTGGTCTTCGCTGGACGAGATCACACCTGCAACATCTGACAACTATCACTTTCAAAGAAAAAGAAAGAAAAAACCAATACAATGGTATTCACTCGATCTGGGCGATCGATCTTTCCACTGCTCCCGCCTTATGGAGCTCACGATTCAAGCACAGGGCGGATAATTCCTCTACATCCAGATGGCCTCACACCCTATCTCGGTCTGCGAGCTCGACTTTCACAAGTATGGATCAATCGATGGACAATACTTTTACTCCTTGTTCTCTTCCGGGTATTGATCGCAGTTGGCGATTTGCAATCCAACATGGCATCCGCCAAGCGTGAGGCCCTCTCTGCATGCACGTCGGTGGAATCCATGGGCAGTGCGATGGCTTCGATGCCCTTCTATTTATCCAAGGGTACCAACGAGCTTGTGGCTTCCTCAGTTGATGACGCCGTTTCTGCCCTGAAGTCTGTGTTGTTGATGACCATCACGGGCGTTGGGGAGATCCTCTGGTTTGTCATAAATATGATGTACTCCACCTACGCCTGTCTTATTACAATGGCCGTCCGCGGGACAGTAGGAGCCGGTATTGAATTGGTCAAGGAAGCTACTGAGTGGATCAACAAAACCCTCAAGACAATCAGCGGCGACATTGAGAGCACCGTTGATAAATACAAAGACGAACTGAACTCATTTCTCGAGGCGATCAACAAAGTGGCTAGCGTGTTCTCGGATGATCCTAGCCCAATCAACCTCAATAGTACAATCAGTACGCTAGAGAATCTGTCTCTTCCGTCGTCAGTCAACCGCACAGTCGAAAAACTAGACAACATCGTCCTTCCCAACTTCAAGGAGATCCAGAATTACACCAAGACCCTATTCCAAACCCCCTTTCAAGAAGTCAAGGACTTGGTCAATGAAACTTTGGGCACTTACAGCTTCGATCGGTCCGCTCTCCCGATCCCTGCTAAGAAACAGTTGACCTTCTGTAACGACAACAAAGGAATCAATGATTTCTTCGACGGGGTCGCTGAGCTGGCACTGACAGCACGCAAAATTTTCATTGCTGTCCTCATAGTTGCTGCCATATTGGTGTGCATTCCAATCGCGTGGCAAGAAATCCGCCGGTGGCGCTCAATGAAAGAGCGCTCCCAGTTGGTTCGCAAGGAAGCCCATGATCCAATGGACGTTGTCTATATTGTCTCCCGTCCATACACCGCCGCTGCGGGTATCAAGGCAGCAAGTCACTTCAGCAACAGCCGCCGGCAGATCCTCGTGCGATGGGCCATTGCCTATGCAACATCTCTCCCTGCTCTTTTCGTGCTGGCTCTTGCACTGGCAGCACTATTCTCTTGCCTGTGCCAATACCTGCTCCTGCACTCGGTGAAGCAAGCTGTTCCCGCACTGAGTGCCGAGGTGGGGGAATTTGCAGACAAGGTCGTTGACGCACTGGAAAATGCCTCGACAGATTGGGCCACCGACGCCAACAAGGCCATCATCAATCTCGACACCGACCTAAACCACGATGTCTTCGGCTGGGTCAACAGCAGCACCCAGGCCATAAACGGAACTCTAAATTTCTTCATCTACAACACATCCAGCGTTCTTAACGAGACCTTCAAAGGTACCCTGCTGCAAGAGCCTGTCTATGAGCTGTACGAGTGCCTCATCGGCCTCAAAGCAGAGGCACTCCAAAAGGGTCTAAACTGGGTAGCTGAGCACGCCCACATATCCCTCCCCACCCTCCCGAATGACACATTCTCCGCCGGTGCCTCCTCCAGCATCAACGACGGCTCCAGCCCTTCCGACAGTTTCCTCGCCGATTCGGGCGACGAGACAGCCAATAAAATCACCGAGGTCGTCAACAGCGTGATCAAAAAACTCGAAGCAGCCGTGCGCATCGAAGCCATCATCGCGACCATCATTCTCCTGCTCTGGGTGTTTATCGCCTTAATCGGTATCACTCGCGTCATGATGCTTTTCTGGAGTCGCGAGAAGCACCGCGGCGAGGGGGGCCAGGGTCATATCCTGGATCCGGTGCCAAATGGCGGACCACCACCCCATGATCCAAATGGTTTTACTGAAGTTCCACTCACTGCTATTCCGAGGAATATGTCTGGAGATGGCCACATTGCTCCTCAGTACACGGCGGCGACGGCAACCTCCGCTCCTGTGCAAGGTGAGCCGTCGTCGTATGGCGATGAGAAGGTTGGTTTCGCAGGGCAAAGGAACTATGGACATGCATTGCAGGTG